GAACCCCCCTCCAGAGCGCCCCTCCTCTGAAACTCCATGCCTGTCTGTTTATAGAGCGCAGAGAGAAGAGAGACAGAGACAGAGACGGAGAGGAAGTGTAGTATACACTCAATCTCTGCGAGAGAGCGACAGAGAGGAAAAGGAGGAAGACCCGTACAATTCAGAGAGCAAATCGGAGGATAGGACAAAAAAAAGATGGATGCTGAGGAAGAAATAAATGTTATCTGGAAGGGATACCAAAAAGCTTTAAGATCATGATCTTTGTTTGTGCTTTAATATTTTCACCAGATTCTCCAGAAGCCATGTGGACACTGGAAGCTTAAATGTCACCGAGAGTTAGTAGCCCTATATGCCATTTGTCACTTGAACAAAATGAGCAGACAAACTGTATGTCTAAAATTTAAGGACCACTTTCTCCGGGTTCTGGAGCAACACTGAGAAACAACTGTGACGAAAACTAACATCATACTGCTTGTATTGTGGACTGTTATTGTGGTTACTGTGGACCAGTGCTCATGTGACACGCTATGCGCCTGCTGCTCAGCTGAGGGCAAGATTATACTAACTGAACTGGACAGGATGCTGACTTTCTCAAAAACATCCTCCAGCCTGTGGCAGTGAGCTAACTCTTGATTTAAGACCTCTTCTGTTCTATCCCAGAGGTCAGGACTGCAAAACAACACCAACTGTAAAAAGGATGGTGCACAGAAGGTCGGGCTCAGCCTTGAGGATGGAACAAAAACAATTGCTTTCCCTTTGATGACCGCGCCTCCAACTCACTCTACCTGAGAATGGACTAAAATCTGGGGCAGGACTCAAAATTCAAATACCAGCCAAACAAGAGTTATGAGATGGGATATTTGGAGTAACTGCTGGCAACCTTAAGGTAAAGATAATATTATCGTCTTCAACTTCTAAGATTAGAATTTTGTAAGTTGTAAGTAAGTTGATTAAATAATAATAGTCCTTGCATTGATGCACTCTCACGCTTTGGGCTGACAGAACAGTGCCAATTGAGCGCAGAATTATTGAGCAAGCTAGCCACTGTATTCAATAACTCATGTCTTTTTGTTCTCCTTGTCTTGCGATCTGATCTGTCCAATTTTTAAGGATAGGAACACCTAACCAAGACGTCCTGACGACACAATGTTGTGCGCTCAGGGTGTGGCCGCACCCCTAATGCTGAGCTCTTTTCTGCTGCAGCTAGTCAGAGCCAATCTCCCTTCTGGCTGCCTGATTGCATCCGATATCCTGAGCTGCACCAACCTCGGCCTCAACCAAGTCCCGGTAGAGTTGCCTGGAATGGTGGCAACACTGGACTTCAACCACAACCGCATAGAACGTCTTGAGGCGGGTAGCTTCTCTGCTCTGCCCAATCTTGACACCATACGGTTAGCCCACAATCAGCTGAGCAGACTCACTCCTGGAACCTTCCGGAATACAAGCAGCATACGCCATCTGGACCTTTCCTCCAATCAACTGAACATTATAGAGGAGCACTACTTTCAAGAGTTAGTAGGAATCAAGGAGTTACTCCTTTACAACAACCAGATAGTGAGGGTAGAAAGCAAAGCCCTGAGTGGTTTGAGTAACCTACACAAGGCCTACCTGAGCCATAACAGACTGACAGATTTCCCCTTCTTTTCTATTCAAGAACATCCCAATCTCACCACTCTGGATCTAAGTTCGAACCGTATGCCCAACCTTCCTGTCAAAGACATCGCAGCTCTAAGGGAAAAGGTACAGAATGGGTTGTTCCTGCACAACAATAGCCTAATTTGCGAGTGCTCCATGTACAGCCTGTTTAAACAATGGGAGTACAGAGGCTTTACCTCAGTAACAGATTTTCGGGAAGAGCATACGTGCTTGCTTTATGGTGAGCAACGTGCTGTGGTGCGTTTTCTCAAGCATGTACGATACTTTGAGAACTGCATAATAAAACTTCCAATGAAGAGAGTTAGCATGGAAGCAGACGCTGGGAAATCGGTGATGTTGGATTGTATAACATCATTAAAGGGAAAGCATCTCAACTATTCGTGGGTATCCCCAAGTAGGGAATACATTGCTCCTCCTGGTAATAGCAATACACTGAGAATGTATTCAAATGGTTCTTTGGAAATCTTGGTGGCACAAGAGAACGACTCTGGGGTGTACTTGTGCATGGTCCATAACCATCAAGAGTCAAGCAACGATTCTCTTGAAGTTAATGTAACTGTGCAGCTGCGCGATCAAGAGGAGGAGCCCTTTAACACTGGCTTTACAACCCTGCTGGGCTGCATTGTCAGCCTGGTTTTGGTCCTTATGTACCTCTACTTGACACCCTGTCGCTGCTGGTGTCTACCAGCAACACCAAGCCCTGCGAACCAATGCAGTGCCCAGTCGTCTATCCTGACACCAACGCCACCTGCCACTACGGAGGGCCCCGGCCGCAAGGTCAGTAACAACAAGCATGTGGTCTTTCTGGAACCCATCAAGGAGGCACAGAATGGGAGGCCGCGGGCAGCACTGGCCCTTGAGCATTCCAAGCTGGCAGTAACACGGAGCGATGCTGACTCTGTCACTTCCGTCTTCTCAGATACCACTATTGTGCCATAGCAGATGCTTACTGTCATCCCAAAGCATGTGGTCTTTCTGGAACCCATCAAGGAGGCACAGAATGGGAGGCCGCGGGCAGCACTGGCCCTTGAGCATTCCAAGCTGGCAGTAACACGGAGCGATGCTGACTCTGTCACTTCCGTCTTCTCAGATACCACTATTGTGCCATAGCAGATGCTTACTGTCATCCCAAAGACCTGCTCAAATGAGCACGAGGGTCCTTCAACGTGGCAGTCTGCAACTGCACAGCTACTCAGGACAGATCAGGGAGAGGGTTTTGCAAGCCCATATCAGTGAGCAGAACAGAGCAGGAAAGCATATACAATCAGAGAGAAGAAAGAAAGAAAGAAAGACAGAAAGAAATAAAGGCAAAAAGATGGAGTCAAGTGCTCCCAAGAATCACCTTTAAGGCTTGACTGAGCCACGGCGTTACGAGAGGAAGGAATTGGTTTGAAACTACAAAAGCTGAAAAGGCTAAAAAGCTTTCCCTTTACCACTGCTTGAGCCTTGATAGATTCTATGAATGCCTTGTCTAGAGCCTATAACCCACTGAATACTGCATAAACCCTACTCTACTCTAGAAATAGCATGAATGATATGGAGGAAAATGACAAGTGCATAATGGATATCTAGTTTTTTACAGATATAACTAGAATGTTGATTTTTTTAGATGTCCTTTGTATCCCTGTGTTTCAGATTGGCAATTTGGTGATTAGTTAGCAGCAGTAATTCATTGCCTACTTTGCAAATGTAAGGGTTTTGGGCAGAGAAAATGCATCTATAAAAGTAGAGATTGTTTATTTAAAGAAATTGACATGCAGTTGTGCAAAGTGGTGATCTTAACCTATATGAATGTGGATATCACACAGAGGTCACATATCCTTAGTACGATTATAACTTGAAATGGAATCTGTGAAAAAGTATTTTTTGCCCCTTCCTAAGCATTCCATGTTTCCCCTTGCAACCCACCTCTCCAACAAATCCTTACTATGTCAGCTTCTTAATAAATCCTTTTGCTTCGACCCCAGAGGTAAATGTCTGCCTTCTTATTCTTAATTGAAGTCTTTATAGCAAAGGTGAACATTCAAACTATGGAATGTGTGTCCTAAAGTTCCTGCTTTTCTACTCAAGAGTAAATCTAAACTGTGTGTGCAACTGTACAAAATAACAAAACATCATCAAAAGCTGCTGTCAACTAGAGCATGACAAAAGTTGTGTGATATATGTGGGAACAAACCTCAATGTTCATGAATATCATGGTTGCTTTTGACAACGGCATACAAAAATGCCCATATTTGGTTGACAATGGCACACAAAAATTTCACTGACCAATGAAGTTGCAGCACAAACCACTAATACTCTTTTTATCTCTGGAACCTCGGGCCCAGTGAAGGGAGAGATTCTGATTAATCAAGTTTGTGTGATGATCTGGAGATATGCCGTGACCCACAGATTAAAACATACGGGTAAAGGGAGAATTTTACAACAGTACATTACCCTTGAGCCGAAGCTCATCTTCCCCAGAATAACTGCATACTAATGAGTGTGTTCCATCCAAAGCTGTACTGCTGTCACTAAAACCACCATTATCATAACCATCATCATCATTATCACCACCACACTGTTTTGTGCCACAATTCTAACAATATCTGCATGGACACACATTTTGACATCCAAGGCATGCATAGTTTCCATCTAGGCTCTGGAGTAGAAGAGAGTGGGGTAAGATGTGCCACTTTTTATTCAAAGGGATGATTCACCAAAAAATGAAAATTCTGCAATCATTTACTCACCCTAATTTCATTCCTAAACTGTATGACTTTCTTTATTATGTGGAGCATAAGTGAAGATATCTGGAGAAATGTCTTAGCGTGTATTTTTCCCCCCCATACAATCGAAGTCAACGGTACCCAAAACTGTTTGGTTACCAACATTCTTCAAAATATATTTTTTAAAGGGGTCCTATTATGCTCTTTTACAAAGTCAGAACATGCTCTCACACTAGGTTGTTCGAAAAACACATTATTTTACCTCTCTCCCCAGTCTAGCATGAACGGCTCAAATAGTTCCTGTATCAAATGAAGGCCCGCCTTCTGAAATACGAAATGTGCTGGGTTTAGCAGAAAAAGAAAGTCACACAGGTTCGGAACAAATTGAGGGTGATTAAATACTGTGTAAGTAAATAAATTAATGTAAATCAGAAAAACAATCCACATCCACTATCCACAATCCCATATTCTTAAGTATTTTAGTCTATTTTGCTGCAAAATATTCTAATTTAATATTAAATATTTAATTAAATATTCTAATTTTAATAGCCATCAATATGGTAATAAGGCAAACCTTTTTATGTATACACCATTTTATAATGAGAGGTGTAATATTCATAATATTTTAATATAGCAAACCATTGTTATAAACACTATTTTTATTTTTTTGGGATATGGATGCAAAGCTTACTATCACTATTTGTTGAAGTATATTTTACCTTAAACCATCAACGATTCATGGTTCATCTTTATCTAGACAATTTTACAGGGTTTTAAACAATGGGAATTCATGTTTAATACATATTTTTAGGAAGAAAACGGACTTTTCTCATATGCATTTCTTAATCACCTGCATCTGACAACCCATTTCTAAATAAATATTCACATGACCAAAACTGTACATAATCTGCCTCACTGGCACAACTTACCCCCGCCTTCCCTAAAGCAAAACATTTTAAAGACTTGGAATGTCTTACAATATTCAGACGCTCAGATATACCAGATTCCATAATCGTCACCACCCTGAATGCATGTTCTGCTGGGTACGTGTCTTTTCATGCTGTATAAAGCTCCTGCTAAGGGACTTTATGCAGTGGGGTGCAGTTGCTGCCTCGGAGCTGTGTGTGGTCCACCTCATTAGTGTTTTATTTATCACACAGGATCAATACTCTCAAAGAACTATATGTCAAAACTGTGACAGCACAAAAAAAGCACAGGAGAAACCTCATATGAGCCTGGGGCTAATTGAAACCCAAGGTTTGTATGTAAGAGGGCTTTTTCGAATATCAGTTTCATGTGCATGCGTGCACTGTAATTAGTCCATCATTAGGAAAATAAGATTGCAAGACGATACCCAATAACACACAGGGTATGACTAAAATCTTGCATCGATGATGAATCAATGTTAACAGCGATAATATGTCAAGCAGCATAAAAAGTTTATTATATGTACACAAACTAAAATACAATATTCTTTCTGTGAAAATGCATTAACAAGGGCATTTATAACACACATAATCACAGTACGGACCTATCAACCACAATCCAGGACATCATTCTATATTGCAGGAGAATACATAAAGGGAAATCCTATAATCATAACATCTGCTGAGCTGTAAAAATGGTCTAAAAATGTTCTTCCCCGTGCACCATGCTGAGCTTCAGATACCCGAGTGGGAAAACTAATATGGGCTTTTGTTTGAGCCACGATATTTTCTCTTTACCATTGCTGCTATACGACAAAGCTTATTGGTCCACATTAGCAACGCCCTGGAAACAGACTTTATCTTGTTACAAAACCACAATATAAAAGGTTTTAGTAAAAAGGCATGTTCACACCAAATCTACATTTTGAGAAGTGAATGAATGCAACATTTTAAGATTAAACAATTAAGGCTATCAAAATAAAATAAATGCATGTGATTATACAAATATGATTAATTGTATTAATTAGCTTAGGTGCAAAACATTTTTAATACATATAAAGTGAGAGGAAGCCCATAAAGGGTGGGGCACTTTTAGTGTGTATAATATAATATAATATAATATAATATAATATAATATATAATATAATAAATACTTTTTTAAGTTAAAATAAATTATTTGTATAAATAAAAAAATAAATTAAAAAAATATGAATTATAAGCATTATAAATTATATAAATAGTTTTTTTCCCCCTAATATTATGAGCATTTGGCATTTGGTGCATTGGATTTTTTTTTAGCCTTCTTTCTGCTAGTCGCATTGCACTTGGTGCGAACAGTCCATCACAGCTTAGTCATTAACTGAAAATGGATCTTTTCTTTTTAATTCACTTCTTTCAGACAATGTATTGCAGAAAGGCCTTGATCAGTGCTACACTGAAAATAAATACACTGCTTTAGTCTCCCATAACACAGTCACATCAGCTAGGCTTTCATTTCCTGGCTTCTCCGCAAGATTTCCACCATTAAAGCTCAGCAGGACAAATACAACAGCCTGTGAACATGTAAATGAGGAATGCGTAATTGATTAGCTTGACTCTATTCCTGAATGCTTTAAGCGGAACTGGAAGCATAACTAAAAAATGCATTTGAGAGAATGAAATAGCTTATTTAACGACAGTGTGTCTGAGGTGTAACCTTAGCAATTATGACGAATGGCAAACCATATAATCAAAAAAGAAAAAGCATTTGCATTCTGCCATGCAAATACGTTTTTATAGAAAAATAATAATAATAATATACTAATTCAGAAAATTATTTATTTGGTTTAGGTCTAGATAGTAGATCCCTGAGAAGATTGACAGATAAATCACCCTCCTTTACAGCATCTTTCATTTCCTGCAGTTCTGGCCCTGGTATTTCATCACAGCCCCACAACAGTCCTTCCATTACCATCAAACTAATTTAGAGCGCTCATAAATCAAGAATATTTACAGTTCTGATGAACCACGCCAGACAAATAAAGAGCTGAGATTTGCCTCCTACAAATACTGTCTGGACAGATTTAGCTGTAATCTACATCTGAGATGAATCCTTCACTGTGGTTGTTCTTTCATTCTGGGAACTGCGCGGGTGAAATGAAAG